AGGGAGGAGAAATAGGTAAAGCCAAGCCAGAGCACTGATCTTCAGAGAGCGTACGCCTCAGGGTAGACTTACCAATCTCCCACTCTTATCCACTGCACAGTAAAACGGAGTGAATCAACTCTGCATCCTTTTTTTTCTCCCCTCCCTCCTCGCCTCCTCACCTCCTCACCCTCCCCACTCATTTTCTCGGGCGCTTTGCTGTCCCTCTGCCTCCCTCCCTTGTTATTTCCCCTCCGTTTTCTGCTCTAACGAGTGGCTGCCCCGTGGGCGAATCGCAGGCTGGGGCCTCAGACATCAAGTCCCATTCTCTGCTACATGGGAGTGTGTCAGCCCCAATGAAGCTCACACAGAGATGAAACTGCCGCCCAGTGTGTGAGTGTGTGTGTGAGTGTGTGTGTGTGTCCTTCTGTAAATTTGTGCCTGACTGGCCTGGATTTAGGATATATGTTTTTGTAAAGCTCTCTCTTCCCATTTGCTCGTCTCCCCCGCTGGCAAAAATCACACTTTACCACGTCACTCATAGCCAAACACCTTTCTCACACACACTCTTTCACTATGTGCAAGAGGAAGAGAAAGAGTCTAAAAGTCTAAATAAAAGGGACATGAAGAGAGAAAGGAGGGGTGGAGATAGTAAAGGTAGGGAGAAAAAAAAAAGGCAGACGGGGGCAGCAGGAGAGGGGAAACGAGTGATAGAATAAAAACCACTGGACTGAAAAGAGACTTAAGTCAGTGACAGTCAGTGTGTCTGTTCATATGTGTGTGCATGTGGTTCATCCTGCAGGCCACGAGCTCCGCCGAGTCCTGCTGACCGGCTTTAACAAGCGTTACCTCGAATGAACCAACACACACATGATACGATGACACGCCGACGGTTAAATCACGTCTTAAACACACATTATCCTCCGTCAAGAAGACAAGTGAGCGTCTGCGTTTGTGCGCACGCGTCTCCATGAGCCCACCACAATTTCCTTCAGTCGATATCCTTTCATTCCGCTCGCCGAATCAGAACTTTCATTCCAGCTATTATAGCCGCTTCGCTTCAAGGATCTATTCAGTCCAAACCAAACAACGCTGTAGTCAGAACAAAATAAAATGGATTTTTTTATTTATTTTTTTTCCCCAGCGTGTTATGAGTTTGACTTCATATTGTTCACAGAACACTGCCATCAAAGGCAACTATTTCTCAAGGAGAACTAGTCTAAGAATTAAACAAAGTAAGGTGCACTGCCTGTGGAAGAAGTTTATACACCAGACTATGAGCTGGAATCATTTCTTAGATTTTTTTAAAATCTCTGTTAGGAGTTTGATTTTTACTGCTTGTGACAGCATCGTAGGCCTTACGCCAATACGCACTAATAGAATTTTAGACAAGCCCTAAAATGCAGGTTTTATTTTATTTTTTTCTCCTAATGGGGAAAAAAAAACTCTGAATCAGAAAGTTAACAAAGCAAACCCACAGCGATCGCCTCGGACTAGACTCAAGCTTTTCTCTGCAAAAGTTTCAGATTAATTTGTTGGAGTGATTCTACCATCTGATAACAGATTGCACAGACTGTTATATTTCCCAAATAACAAGGCAGAATACAATAAAAATGTCTCTTTTGTATTGCATTCACGTACTGTATTAAGCAGTCTGCGCTATTTTCATTAGGGGTAATAAATACAGGATGTAGATAGAATCGCAAGCATTATGTGTAATTGAACAACAGCTTTTAAGTAACTAAATCAGCATCGGACTCCCTGCTAGAAACGGAGATAATAGTCTGAATGCCAGTTGTGTGCGATGGAGGCACCTAGCCAAGCCAAAACCACTGCTGCTGGGGACTACGCCTGGCTCTCTGCAGTGTTTTTTTCCCCCTGTGCCACTCAGGCACCCCGATTCAAACCTATTCTGATCATAACTCATGTATTTTACCCCCAGAAGACCCACTCTGCTAATTTAACATACAGAGCTATTCGGAGAATGTGAAAATTAACAAGTTAGGCTAATACAAAAACTGCCAATTGGCATCTCGACTGTTCAAAAGGCTGAAACACTTGCAAGTCGTAACCATGGAGATCCTTTGCATCTCTATCTCCGGTTCCACACAATGTGATCTTGCCACAACATGTGAGGGTATTTTTAGACGACGCAAATGACAAGGATGTTCAAATAATAGTCATTAAGTGTCGCTTGTTAAAGAAACACTGTATTATTACCCTGGAAATATTCTTATTATGTTATTGTGAAGGGCTGCAAGCTGGTTCGATGGCTAGCATCGTTGCAGCTAGAAGGTCACCAGTTTGCATCCCGGTGAGGACACCCGAGATCTTTCTATAGACTGATAGACTGGTGACCTGTCCAGGGATAGACTTCAGCCCCCCCGCGACCCTAGTGAGGATTAAGCGGTGTATAGATAATGGATGGATGGATGTTCCACCTTGTTTAATATATCACATCAGATGAACATCTTACAAAGAACGTTCTGTCATCTGAACTCTTGATAACATCTTAAAAACATTTTCTGAGTGTTCATTTCAGAATGGTCTTTCTTTGTTATCACTGGGGAAATGTTTTATAGAAGAACGTTCTAAAACGTGCTCCCTCACCAACATGCTAAATGTTCTACCTTTAATATATTACATAACAGGAAACGTTCTGTGTTCTCCTGTCATCTGAGGCCTTGATACGTTTGGAAAACATTTTCTGAATGTTGTTGGAAAATATTCTTTCTTTGCTATGTTACGTCCCCTCTTAAAAAGTGGAAAGCGACACACCAACCAAAAGAAATGCTGGAATAGAACATTGTAAAAATGTTTTATACTAGAACGTTCTACAATGTGTGTCAACAACAAACGTTCTACCTTTAATATATTACATTACAGAAACGTTGCAAACTGTTCTGCATTAAAAAATCTGTCATCTGAGGTCAGGACACCATCTTGAAAACATTTTCTGAGTGTTGATTTGAGAACATTCTCTCTTTTGTTATCATGGAACATTAGGAGAACGTAATGTTTTGCCTCAACAGCATCTCTAAAATGTCCCCAGAACATTGTAGGAAGAATGTTCCACCTTTGTTAGAACATTACAAGAATGTCTTAAAGAGCATTTTACCATCTGAGATCTCAATAACACATTGAAAACATTATCTAAGCGTTGATTTGAGAACATTCTTCCTTATACTTGCCGACATGTTTTACAGAAGAACGTTCTACAACGTGTGTCACCAACAAGATTGATTTGAGAACATTCTTTCTTTTGTTATCATGGAACATTAGGAGAACATAATGTTTTGCCTCAACATAATCCCGCAAATGTTCCCAGAACATTGTAGGAAGAATGATCCACCTTTGTTCATATATCACATGACAAGATCTTTATACAAAAATCATCTGAGGCCTCTAACATCTGGAAAACATTTTTTTTTATGTTGCTTTGAGAACGTTCCTCCTTTGCCATGTGATCTGAACATACCGTCCAAACATCCTCTGAATTTTGCTGCTAAAAAACTTTTAACTTCATGGGAACATTTGTGGGGAATAATAAATATGCTTAAAACTGTCCTTGAACATTGGATACAACTTTTTTTTTATTAACCAATGTTGTGGGAACATTCCCTGCTCTCTGGGGACCAACCATGTTTAGAACAGATAGTCACACAACACTGATTTCAGCTCATGTTTAAAACTAATTATATTCTGGTCGTTTCTATCAAGCACCTTGCAAAGCAACCCCGTTCGGAACAATAGCGCGTGGCTGCGCCGTCCTAGCTGGAGTCCCTGACAATAGACAGTTACACCCTTAGCAGGGCACTTCTCAGTAATGGCCTCAGAGTAGAACGGCTTCCTCCACATTAAACAGCCCATTACTAGACATTGATTGCAGTTAACACCGACGTCAGACCGTATTAATCGTTCCATCCTTCCGCTCTCGTGCCTCTGCGCAGATCTGAACCTGAGCGCTTATCCGGGATCGTTTAACAAGGTTTGAGGAAGTGAGGGGATTTCTGTCAGCGCCTATCACATCACTCCTGCCGAGTTTAGTCAGGCCGTTTGAAAATGAAAGTTAAAATGAAAGGAACGCTAGATGGAAAAAGACAAATTGGATGTTTTGGTGCTAACGGGGGGAAAAAGAGAGGAGCAGTTTGATAAAAGCTGTAGCAGCAAGGTCATACGAGACGTGTCTGTTTGCGGCAGTGATTTTGAGGTAATAGGCAGCAATTTCCACAAGCGACCATAAGAGGAGAGGAAAAAAAGAAAGAGGAAGTGAAGATGAGAGCGAAATATAATACGGCAAGGAGTAAGATAGAAGTCGGACTGTAGAGGAGATAGAGAGGTGAAGTACAGTATGAATGACAATGAGGAACACATCCTAAATATAATGGCGCCATTACAGTGTTTCAAGTCTATCTGCCGCGACGGATAAGTAATCGCACAAAGGTCTACCAGCTGCTCTCTATTTATACACACCTGAGCTGAAGCACTTCTGATCATTAAAAGGTTAATTAGCAATTCATCAGTCTGTGTGAGCAATGCACTAATTATGTCTTTTATCCATTCAAAAGGGGACGAGCAATCCTTACACTGTTATAGGCTTATTAACCAGACTGTACTGCATTAATTGAATATAAATAATGCACTTAAACATCTTTTGATTATTATAATATTGGGTTTAACCAGGAAAAAAGAGAAATAAATTATGTATGGTGACATTATTTTGAAGCAAACTGCCTTATGAAGATAAGCTATGGTTGATGGTAAAAGTAGCTGCTTTGCATTTACTAATTTTAAACTTTGCTAATAATTTCAACGGTTGTCCAATAACTGTCACTCTATATTTTTGCAGCTGCAATCTGCAAAACAACAGTAAATAAGATCCCAAACCTGAGTGACTTTTATTTTGAAAACAAATCAATTTTTATTTTGCATCTCTAATAATTAGTCCAACGCAGGACGTATTGATTAAACGAACCAGTTAACACTGACATCCAAGGAAACGAGGGAACAACTCAGCGTACCTGTTGATGGCAGAGCTGAGCTCATCCAGGCGCCTCGCGTCGGTGGTGGAGGTGTTGTCGAGTTTGGACAGACTGTCCATCCTCTTCAGAATCACTTCCAACATGTCACTGATCTTCCTCAGCACACCGCGAGACTCCACACCTCCCAGCACTGAGCGGAGAGACACAAGTAGAAGAGGAGACAGGAGATGATTGGAAAGCTGGACAAGCGAGTACACGTGAAACTTGCACCACAGCATTAATCACAACGTCTGCAGCTCTCCCGGTTCACCATACTGTAATTGACTGTGTTTTTCCGTTTTGGACAACTGTCTGTATGCACTTCACAACAATGAAGATCTGAAGCAAAGTCCCTTCTGCTGCGTGCCAAACAATGCAAAAGTCCACAAATAGTAAGAAAACATTTAATGAATAGCACTTATATCATATCACATAAACTTTGCAAGAAAAACTTCTTATGTAGTAATGCTTTGGCTTCTAGGTAGAGCTGCTATACATCACCATCTAGTTTACCGACTCTTTGCCGCGGCCAATACTCCAGCGGGAAGACGTAAATCAAAACTTGAGACTAAAATCCAAACATGTTCTATCTCGAGAAAAGTGGAGTGGCAAAAGTTTGATCTTTCGCTGCGTGTCATCATTAATTACGGTGTGTTTCAGTTTATGATGCCACCTCACTGATTAATTCAGTTTTCCCATTATTGCCGTTAGTTAATGTATGGGGCTGTCAGCATGCAGTGTTCTCTAATTCATGTAATTAAAATGTAAAAAAAAAAAAAGATTGTGTGTGTTTTTAAACAAAAGCAAGCTTGAGTCCTGAATGACAAACAGGATGATGCATTCATTTAAGTGAAACTATAAGAAGAAGACTAATAATATGTATAAACATGCTCCTGTGTTACATATCCATCCATCCATTATCTATACACCGCTTAATCCTCAGTAGGGTCATGGGGGGCTGGAGTCTATCCCAGCTGACTGAAGGCAGGGGACACCCTGGACAGGTCACCAGTCTATCACAGGGCTACACTTAGAGACAGACAACCAAGCACACTCACATTCACACCTACGGACAATTTAGAATCACCAGTTAACCTCAACATGTTTTTGGACTGTGTGGGAGGAAGCCAGAGAACCCGGAGAGAACCCACGCTGCACGGGGAGAACATGCAAACTCCACGCAGAAAGATTCCGGTGCCCCCACCGGGACGCGAACCGGCGACCTTCTTGCTGCGAGGCAACAATGCTACCAACTGCACCACCTTGCAGCCCCTGTGTTAAATATTTATACATGAATTGTCAACTTTTACTTGGCATCCACAGAAAGCCTAACACCACGTACCAATCTCTATGAAAGTAGCTTCTCCTAACTTGCGTGTAATTCCTCATCCTAAAGTCTAAAAGCCAGCAGCTTGATTATCTCTGTCTTTAACCTGTATATCTGCAGCTTGATCTCCTCTCCTCTGCCAACAGCAGGGCACATCGCCCGGCGCTGTCTTCTGATCTCTTGTCATACACTGGGTTTTGTTCAGGCCAGACACCCAGACACTCTGGAGTCTGATGTCTGACTGTGGATTTATCTTTATATCCTTTGATACCCTTTGATATGATGATATGAGAATGAGACTTCCACCAAGACCGAGAGTTATGAAAAGCCAAGAACTAATTATGCCGCCGCTCCGAGTCTCCCTCTCTCTCTCTCTCTTTCTTTTTCTCAGTCCGTGTGAGGAGAAATGTATTTCTTTCACCTAGCACAGCAAAGGAGGGGCCGCACATGTAGCTGTGTGTGTAGAAAAAAGATGAATACGTCGGCCATCACGGTCGAAAAGTGAGTCATGACACACACACACACAGAGGCAGTGAAGAGAGAGGTAGAATACACTCCGACTGCATAAAAGGTGTACCAGACCTCATTAGGATAATTACACCGACACCGTCAGGGTCACAGTGTCTGTGAATGCAGCCGTAAAGTCCCAGAACTGAAGGTGACTGAAAGCTCGAGACGCAGATGGAAAGCTTTCTGGTTTAATGTCTCCGCAGAATTAATCTCCCCTATATGTGTCTAAGTCATCATTTTTAAGCGTCTGAAAAGAGTTAAAACCGGAGAATCGAATACTGTAAGAGGGGAAGTGCTGCGACGATTCCAAGGAAAGAAAGATAAAAGTCGGAATTAATGTTAGCGACTGCGAATTCGCAAATCACTTGGTTTAATATTGAGTTCTAGTCAGTGACCTCCGTGCATTTGTGGGAGCACACGTGATGGCTCCTGGTTGGTGAAAGCTTCCTCTGCTTCCCAACAATACATCTTGGCCAGAAGATGACTACCTATAACACTGAGCACTTTGCAATCAGTATTATTATGTGTCTGTTGTGATGTGCTAGTAGCTCTTGGAAGAAACAGATGTGTGAACTGTACTCGTCTACAAATTCTAATGACAACTATAAACATGCAGCAGCCTCCACATGACGACTAACAGACAGTCATAAAAACACTAAAAGGCTGATTTTTAAATACATTTAAGTGAACATCCCACAGGTCGTGTAGCTGTAGCATCAACATGTCAGTCAGTTCCTTCATGTTTCCATCAGTAGTCAGATTATTGTTCCCTCCACAGCTGCCTCCGTTCACCTGAGAAACAAAACAGTGCTAATGTTTGTCCAACGATTTGGACGCTCTTCCCAAACTAACCGAATCAATATTTTAGCGAGTGAATCACCTTCTAAATCGGAGCGGTTGTCTTCAATCAACCAGAGTCTGGAAATGATTAACTGGATTTGCTGAGAGTCCATCTGTTGCACTGCCGCAGAGCCAAGGGACACGACGTGTGAACAAAGACACAGAGGCTTCTTCCTTTAACCTTGCCACGGATGAGAATGACACATGTAACTATGGCAACCATACACAAAGATGGCGACGGCTGTAGCCTCGAAATGCTTAGAAGATGGAAAAAAATTGGGAATGAAAGTGAAATGATTTTGTTTTTATCCACATACAAACCAACAACAATGGTTTTATGAGGCATCTATGTGCTGGAATCTTTTGTGGCTGCAACCAGGTGACATCTTCAATAATATGTTAATGGATATACCATTGGGTGCAATAAGGAGACAAGCACAGATCAAACAGGTGGCAGAAAATGCAAAGTATAAATAAAATATAATCATTTGCAGATTCAGAGGGGAGGCAATGCGTGATAGTTTTTGTTTGGAAAATGAATTCAGCGTGTTTTCTGTTCATGCGCCATGACATAAGGTGCAATTGTAACAAATGCATAGAATAAATCAGCATATTGCAGCTACTGCTATGTAACACAAAGCAAAGAGGCGCCGCAGAGATGAATTCTTTCACCTGTGAAAGAATATGTAACATTTAGAAAGAGACAGAGAGTCTGTGCAGCGTCTCCGAACACAGGATGCCCTACTAACCTTCAACCTGTCTGCTGTATAAAAGACTGTTTCACTTCTTCCTCGGCTCGCTCGACTCAGCTCACTCGTTTGATTGGGTGAGAATCCATCAAGCAGACGACGAATTAAACTTACAGCAAGACAAGCGTTTGATTTTGTGCTTTATTTAACAGATGTTTCCACCACAGTGTCCTGATGTGACTCATCACACGTGATGCAGTCTTACAGGATGCAGCTTGTTACATAAGGGACACGAAGGTGAGCGTGTGTTCCTCCGGCCTGCCATCAGAATGTTTAGAGGGCCACATATTGATGCTGCAAACACCTGGATTACGCTGTCCGAGCACTCTGTCAAACTCCACGTCTGTCGCTTGACAAGCAATTACAGCCAATGGGCTCCGGTGCCTAACAGCTCCGGTGCAAGGTCATTGTCTGTCTCAATTCCTACCAGCGGCAGGAGGAATCTTAAGTTCAGTGAGTTATCACCACAGTGACAGATGTATTCATCTGAGACTGACAGTGTCATGTCCTTTGCCTATGATAGATTGCTGTATCCGAGTTTGCCGGTGGGTCACTCTGGTGACATCTCTGCGATTGGCTGATAATGGATAACATCTAAGTTAAGGGTCAAGCAAATGCAGGGAGCGGTTATGCTGAGGAAGTGATAATGTATGATAAGGGTTAAACAAATGAGTCCTTGTATATTCTTTCTCTCAGAAACTGTGCTATTGGCAAAGCTTCTGAAAAATCCTTCTGACTGAACCCACACACACTTTCAGCATTTGTTTGCCAAAACAAAGCTCGATTTGGAACTAGTTTAAAACGGATCGTTCCCTTTGTTCTTGGCTGCTAATGAATTACTGTGTGACGGTATGTAAAAATTAGATGAAAACATTTGGTTACATTACAATACCTTGGCTGTCAGATAAGAGCCACACATTGCCGGGATGTTCAGCAATGCAGCACAAGGAGAGCATAGGAATTATTTAACACAGCCTTAAGGTATAAAAGATCCAAAGAGTTAATGAATACATCTTTCACATGTGTCCGTGGTCTAATGCATTAAATGTCAATTCAAGTCAGGGGGCTAATTGTTCTCTGTGTGTCTGTTGCATGACAAAGTGTAGTGTCAGAGTGTAGTCACAGAAGGTGCACTCCCACTGGATGACAAACGACCATCGGTAATAAAATAAGCCCGCAGCGGAAAATCTGATCCCTGTTCAAACTTCACTTTGTATATTGATAAAAGTCTCACCGGAAACATCTTTTTAACCATTTTGACAGCAGGAACCAAATGTCGTTCAAAAAAGCAACTGAAAGGACAAATAACCAAATCCCCGTAGCTCTTACAGTAAATTACACCATTAGACAGAAATTACTGGCCGTATCTGCTCACCAGAGGAAGCCTCATTTAAATCTCAGTGGTGTAATATCTGTGCAAGTGAAGGACAGTGTAATCACTGCTACTGTATGTAAAGGAGGGGAGCAGCAGCAGAAACATTACACCAGAGATTCTGATGGTTTCACTTACTCCATCTCGAAGGGCAGCGGAGTCAAAAACAGGCACAAGAGCACCTGCAGAAAAAAACTGATAACAGCAGCAGGGAATCAAGATGTAAAAGAAAATAAGAGAAGGAAGATTAAAGGCCCAGTAGTCACCAATTCCCCATATAGGAATCTGTACTGAGGTGAAAGTATCCATTAGTTATAACACATGAATCTTCCTGAGTATGCCTGATGGATATT